ATGACCCTGAGTGCCCAAAAGTTTCTATAAAATGGCTACTACGTAATGATTCATAAGTAAATAAATAAATAAATGATTTAAGGACACATTTTCATTGTATAGTCCCTGGCATAGAAAATATGGATAATGGCCTTGATGGGTGCAGTGATATACACATTAGATAGGTGTCATACAGCAGCCATTGTGTCTTGTAGTTCCGCTGGAATGCTGTATTGACCCCTTCTGCAGTATCTGAAGCATCTGTTTTTTAAGTTTGATGAACGTTTCCATCTGCATCAGGGAAAAAAAAAGATTTTGAAATTGCTTTTCTGAATTCAAGTCTTGTACAGCAAACACTCTGAAGACAGTGATTTAATCTCTATAAATGGCTGGATTTGCTCGCTTCAGTAATTCTTTGTTTGTCCATGTAGCACTGTCTGAATTAACAAATGTATGCTGTCTCAGTGACTGAGTGAAAGCAATTGTCCTGAACAGTGAACAAGTCATTATTAGTACCTCCTATTGTTACCGTGACATGGCCTTGACACTTTCTGTTGTGAATTGTTAAATCAAAAACACACACATGATTTGGTGAGACCCTGTAAGTGGAGCAAAATTGACAGGCGCAGATGAAGCTCTCACATCTGCCATTATAAATTAATGTAGTTGTTGTAGTGCTTATTGTTTGATGAACTAGGTGGATGATTTTTTGAAATGTGGAATTATTCAACTCTCTTGTGACAGCTCCGGGATCCTGCCAGTCTTAATCTATCAATACTGTACATATTTAACCATATTGTGTTCCTTGGTTTAATTAGGTTGTTTTTGCAGGTCTCTCCTACAGAGTGTCTCATGAATATGTAAATACCGTTGTAAATGTCTGTTCCAAAGCAGCTGTCAGTCATTATTTGTCAGGTTTCATGGGAAACAAAGCCATTGTTTGATCTGCCTGAAGTTTGGAGGGGCTTTAGAAGGTAGATGTAACAGAACATTAAATGAAAAAATCTATTATTTCAATTATTTATATCAGTTGAAAGATACCTCCATTCACACCTCTCTGAATATTTTCTTGAATATCTCAAAAGTAATCTCTTAATGTTCTGTGTATTTCACTATAGTTTATATATTTTTTGCATGTATGTAGTTAGGACGTTTGTTGTCATTTCTTCAATCAATACTTTTATTTAGCAAGGACACGTTAAACTGATCTAAATGACAGTAAAGACAAAAGATTTCTATTTCAAATAAATAATGTTCTTTGGAACTTTCTGTTCATTAATGAATACTGAAAAAAAGTGTATTACAAAAATATTAAGCAGCGCAACTGTTTTCAACCTTGATAATAATAAGAAATAATTTTTGAGCACCAAATCAGCATATTAGAATGATTTCTGAAGGATTATGTGACACTGCTGAAAATTGAGCTTTGCCATTTTAAAATATTTTAAAATATAATAAAGTTATTTTAAATTGTAATAATATTTTACAATATTACTGTTTTTGCTGTATTTTTGATTAAATACAGCCTTGTTGATCATAAGAGATTTTAATCAAAAATATTTAAAAAAATCTTCCGACCACAAACCTTTTGAGTGGTGTGTGTGTATTATATTATTTGTCACAAGCTTATGGCATCATCCAAGACTCCCTCCCCCAAGTTACTCTGTAGACGTCTCACTTATTTTAAGGCAGAACACTGCTAAAAGCTGCACAGTCTAAAGCTAGCTGCACATTCATGTAGAATTCAACTGGCATGTGTGTAGTGTAGATATTCATTCAATCATTCTCAATTGAGTTTCCTTCAGCAATTTGTAATGTCTTTTTTCTTTACAAGTGGCATCTTTTGAACAGAATCTCTCTGCTCTCCTTGCCAATGCTAGATTTCCTTAGTGAAATGCATGTTTGATTTGTATATGCTGGCTGAATTTGCATTGGAAATGACCTAGCATTGGTTGGCTTGTTATCATGCAGTGTCAGTTGCTATAATTTTGATGAAGTCGCCTGCTTTATTCCACCAGAGCTTCAGCTTTGATTCAGCAGTCTGTTAAAAGTCTGCTATTTGCCACTGCTGTTTTCTTTATGGCCAGTATTAAAACATGAAAATATAAGACAAGAAACCTTCATATTTACATATCTAATATAGAGAGCAGAAGAGTAATTTGTCCCCTTACTCTGCATTATGTTTACTGTACATTTAAGTTTGTTAAATGTACAGTAAACATTATATATTATATTATGGTACATTATATACTTTTTATTCTTCACTGTATCTTCTGTATTTCTTTCATTTGTGGGTTTTTTTGTTCTTGGTGGTCAGGAAGTGTGAAAACTCTTGGAATGACTGTAGCGCGTGAGCATGTCCATACCTGTTTGAGCTTGTGCATCAAATGTTGCGTGTGTCTGTGTGTGTATGCTTGTGACGCTGAAAAAGCAACTAGGTAAAAGTCACCACACTACAGAAGCTTCTGCCAGCAATACAATTATGAGATGGTTAAACATTGACTAGCCTCATTTCAGACATTATTGTCACGAGTCCGAGTCACAGCTACACGAGGAAGCATTTCTTTTGTGTCGCCAGAAATCTTTGTATGCTTTAATGTGTTGGGGACATTTTTTGCTGCCGCCAAAAGAAGTGGGAAACGGCTTTTTGGAATAAACACATACAGGTGAGACCAAACAAAAGAAGTCTTTGTGTGTCTCTGTGTGTGTTTACATTGATTTTACTCTGACTACCAACAGCTCAAGAGGTCTGTTTTTTTCTGTTTCTCTTTGTTCTTTCATTCTCTTGTTCATTTAATTTGTGTGAATGTTCCTAATTCTGTATAGCAGTAATCGTTTTAAGTTCAAAGAGCTCAGAGGAGCTCAAGCTCTTTGTCCCTACGTGATTTTTTTTACTGTCGTGGTGATATGTATGTAAATGGGCTCTTTTCTGCCTCTGTCTCTCTCCATCCTTTCGTTGTGTCATTATCTTACCATGATGGTTATTGCCTTTATGCTTGAGAAATGTGGAAAATTGGTCTTTCTAGTGTAGTATTCACTGGGTGTACATCACTGCCTGGAGGTTTGTGTTTTATATCCTGCTGTCGGCCATATGCAGTTGCTGAGTCTGGGCAAATGAAGATAGGAGGGTCATCGAGCCCCCTGATTCACTGCCCCTCTCCGTATGTAACATAAAAATTGCCTCTCTGCTAGATATATTTGAATCACAGCAGGTCTCTCTCTCTCTCTCTCTTCTTGTATGGCTCAACATGGTTTGTGCTTTAACTGTCCCTTTCTTCTTTCCTCCTCCTCCTCCTCCTCCTCAGTTCCTCTTTCTCGCTTTCCTTTTATTTTACCTCTGCTTCATTGGGCCAGGTTATAAAATCGATTATTTCTTCTAGTTTTGAACTAATGTATTTTTCCATCTATATTGGGATGAGCTCAGTATTTTAATTTTTTTATTTAGTTTTGTTTTTGTTTTTTTGAGCTTTTTATGGAGGGATAGATTGCCTTTGATGACTTTTGTACTGATGTCCGTATTTGTTATTGTTTAGAAATGCACTGGTTAAAAGAAGGACTATCAATGATCGCAAGGCCATCCTGTCATTCAAAATGTTGTACAATACTAATTAAACGTTTTCTTTTAAAGAAATGAATACTTTTATTCTGCAATGATACATTAAATTGATCATTTATAATTTTACAAAATATGACCAACGAAAATGCTGCTCTTTTTAAACTTTCTATTCATCAAAGAATCCCGGAAAAATATGCTCTAAAAGAGCAACCTCCAAATCTCCCCAAAAATTCAGTGAAGAAAATGCAAAAAAGTTTACAGATTGTGTCTGGGCCTGCCAATTAGTTCTGAGAGAGAGAGAGAAGCACATTTGGTTGAGGCTGCTGTGCTCATTAAATTATTTTTAAAAGTGCCTCTTTTGGATCATCTCTACGTTTTTCTCCACAGAAAGTAATCACTTTATATGAGCAGTAGGTGACAACTAATTTCCTTAGTGTCAGACACCGAAATGTCCCACAATGTGATACTGCTCTTGAAAATAATCTGTCAGTTGCATTGTAATTGCAAGTACTTTAGAAAACACATACAATGAATGCACTATAAATTTCTCAGTAGTTCCTCAGTACTTTCCCAGCAGTCATATAATCATCATGCTGATTTTATGAGTTATTTAGTTGCAAGCAGTTTAATTGCAGTGGCAGGTCGCACTGTATGTCTACTTTCAGTATCCACCCTTCATGTGACATTTCTGTCCTATGAATATAGAACAGTTAAAAGTTCATTAACATTTTTGTGTTCTTAACTGCACTAGAAATGGAAAAATTACATTTACAGTATGCATTCATCACATTATCTTGTGGACAACTGGCAAATGTGAAATTTCTCAAATATTTTATATTCTTTTTTCAGTCTTTGATGTGACAAACATCAGTCATGTTATCAGACAAAAGAAAGATGTTTATCTGCAGTATGTGTCATCCTCAAGAAAAGCAGGTTTTGAAGCAAATGTGCTTTTGACTTTAGGCAGTAGTTTGTGTGTGTGTGTGTGTGTGTGTGTGTGTGTGTGTGTGTGTGCATGGAAGAGTGTCTTCACATTTTTTTAATTTAAGCTCAAGAAAACATCAGCCCTTTTCATAGGCCGGATTTGCCTGTTGTTTGATTTCTTGGTCTGCAATCAAATGCAAAAGAAAGAAAATCTTACCTAACACATTTACAAAATGATTGGAGGTTAAAAGTTCATCTGACTGTAACTGAATACAGCCTAGTATAAACAAAGACCTCAGTTTCCCTTCAGGCTGTCCTCAACATCCTTAAAAGATTCTGCCATCTGGTGGCCAAATGAAACAAAGTCTGGGTCTTCAAATGCCTTTGTCATAGCAGAAGCCCTTTGGTTATTTCAGTGAAAATTTCCTCTACTGTACTAAGATATTTTAATAAGCTCTTGTCTGGTTACTAATTCATCCTGTTTTGACAGAGTGAATCTAATCTATAACCTTAAACGTTCTTTTTGTCTATATGTGTTTAGACTCAAGTGGCCAGCCTTTCTGTGTCCAGTGCAAGCCAGAGTACCAGGGTCCCAACTGTGAGCAGTGTAGTGATGGCTTCTACAACGCCGACAGCATCTGCCTTCCCTGTAACTGCAGCGGGAACGGAGACCCCCGCATATCCCCTCGGATCTGTCACCCGGACACGGGCCACTGCCTGAGCTGCATCAACAACACTACGGGGCTGCACTGCGAGCGCTGCACAGAGGGCTTTACAGGGGACGCACTCGCCAGGAACTGCACTCCTACAGGTGAGAGCCTACAGTAGTAAAACCTCTAGTGATTTTTGGCTGCAGTCGGGTAAATTAGGGCTGTGCCCATAGGCGGAGGGTGAACCAACTCCAGGGTAAGGCTAAAAGCAGCCAAATGTATTAAACATCATAAACCCGTCTTTTTAGGCAAGGACCAGACATGGGTGTCATGTAGGCTAAAAATTTTTTTAATGGGACTGAATTTGTATTTAACGTGATTACAATTTAATAAAAACGTTAGAAATTGATAATTATATAACGTTTCCTTTCCACGGGTATTCAAATAGTGAATAAATTATATATAGAAAGTGACATTATCACTAACATTGATCTATCGCGAGTTTAAGCACTCTCAAAAAAACAAAACTATCGTTATAATCACTGAAACTGTATACACTGTGAAATGAATCTCTTACTTACATTGTACGTCCATCTGCGCTTTGTTGTTTATGATGAGAGAATTCGCAAGAGTACGGAATTCAGTCAGCAAACGTGCGCGCGCACTCAACAAAACTGATCTGTTTCAACGATGACTCATCTGAACGCCTCTGATTGGCCATTGCATTCCTAAGCTCAACAGAATTGTGTGTGATTGGTTAAAAACTGTAAAAACGCCTAAAATGAAATACGGTGCAACATGAGCAGAACTTAATTTAATGCCACAATCGACACTATTCATATTCACTTTGTTAGCAACAGACGTAATAGATTTAATTTGTTTGTGCAGGGGCATTTTTGTCCAATTTAGTGGCATTTTTGCCCCAAGTCCCAGTGGCCAGGGGAAGGCTAAGCCTTACACACGCTCCGCCTATGGCTGTGCCGATACAATCATTTATTGATATATTTATTTTTTGTTCACATTATTGCATCTGTATTTCCCATTCTTTTTTATTATGCTCATTCATGCCATTTTCAACAGTTCAATTAAAGCTGTAACTCTGAAACCATCATTTGTCTTTGCAGTTAGAGCTGCTTCAGTTCTAAAAAAAAGTGAAGAGAATCAGTTGAGAGAGGTTGAAACTGATCCCACAGGTTAACTCTTTCTCGTGGACACCCTGAATCGCTTTCTCATGCATTTGGTGTAGTTTCAGTTGTGATTTACTTGTATTGCAACATATTAAATGCATCACATTGATGTTATCCAGCCCTACAGGATAGATTGTGTGAACAGGAAGGACCTGAACTTTATATATTAATATATTTAAGCAACTATTTTAAGAGGTGACTGAAAAGTGCTTACGTGTTTTGTGACTGTGGTTTTCAGAGAGGGGAAGAGAGGGTGTGTTGTAGAATGACTAATCCCAGATCAGTGTTCTGACTCACAACATCCGTCTGTACAATGCTGATTTTATCAGTGGCGTACTGTAAAGAGGACAGATCATACATTCCCACAGGCAGGCTGACTCGGGTTGCCAAACAGTGAGCTTGGACCCCAGGGTGAATATATGAAAGCGAGAGGAAGAAGAAAAAAGTCAGCCAAATCCACACTCTCTTTTCGTAAATCTTTCCACTCAGCCAACAATAATAAATTGTTATTTTCCCTTTCGGCCTGTCTGAGCTCTGCTCCAGCCATGTTGCCGCTCACTGATGACGTCCCATTATAGAGGTACACTAATGGTGCTCCAAAAGGCAACATATTAACTTTCCAACAATGGCTGAAATATCTCTGATAAAGTGTTTCCCATAATGACAGTGTTGTAGTTGTGTTGTTGTTGTGTTGTTATTGTTAACAAAAAAAAAAAACTAAAACTTTTCAGTTTTTGGTAATTGAAATACCAGCTGTAATAAAATAAAATATAAATATACGAAAAACTTTATTCTTAAAATTAATTAGAATTGTTGCCTTGGCAACTAACTGAAATAACTAAAAGTACTAAATGTGCTAAAATGTCCAAAATTAAAACTAAAAATAAAACCTATATAAGAAAAATTTTTTTAATAAAAATGACAAAAACATGTAAAAAAAAAAAAAAATTTTAACATGAACTAAAATTGAAATATGAAAATATAAAAATTAAAGCTAATTCAAAATATTAATAAATACTATAATAGTATATAAATAATACTAAAATAACACTGCATGATGAATCTTACATGTTTTGTGAGGTAGGTTTTCAGTCTTTATGTACACTGCGTATGGTCTGACATTGTCTGTTCTACTGAACAGATGGAATCGCTCCTGCCTGTGAACCTTCTACCAGTGTGCAGCATCTGTTCTCTACATTACACTAGATCAGGGATCCACATGGGACTGTTTTGCTGCTCTCACTTTTCATTCCCTTCCTCTTACTTTGTTTCTTCTCTTCCTATACTCTCTTTTTTGCTCTATTTTTTACTCTATCAATATTAAAAGCATTACAATGCTTTTAATATTTTTTTCCCTGGGATTCTTTGATAAATGGAAAGTTTAAAAAGAACAGCATTTATATTAGAAATCTTTTGTAACATTATAAATATCTTTAGTGCCACTTTTGATCTATTTAAATATTGTGTGTGTGTGTGTGTGTGAGTGTGTGTGTGTGTGTGCGCGTGTGTGTGAAAGAAATGTATTTAATTAAACATCATTTGGAATCTAGACAGTAATGACACCAATTTTTTTAACAAACCTTAGGTACATAAAATTTGCTTTGTTTCGAGATCATGATTACTTGCAGTTCAGTGATAACTGTCAGTTCGGTAAGTGAGTCAGAAGTTTAGTCAGACTTATTCAAAAAAGTAACTTGCTAGTTTTTTTTGTTTGTTTGTTTTTTTAATGATTCATTAAAAGAACCAAGTCATTTGTTTATAAATCAGACTAGAATTTTGAATTTTAACTAGAATTTAGTTTTCTGCATGCAGCCCACAAACACACCTCATTTTCTTACTATGTCATGGTACACAGTCTTTTTTCTCATTGCATTCAATAAACACTGTAAACTCACATTCACAACTTATATTCAGCAGAGGTACAGGAATATCACTGGAAGGTCACTGGAGTTTAATGCATAATTTCATTCATTTGGATATGTTGTATTTTATTAGATGTGTATTGTCTCAAACTGTCCTTCTCTCTCTCTTGCCCTGTCCATAGTCGTCCACACTACTCCTTCAACCACTACCCACTGGTTTCACTACACCACCATGAGCTCCAGCCCCAATGCTACAGCACAGTTCACCACCTTCTCCACAACTTTGCTGAGCAGCCTGGGCAGCTCCACCCCCAACACCACCACCACCACCACAGTGACTCCGGTCCCGTGGAACCAGTTCAACATCATTGTCCTGGCCGTCATCATCATAGTTGCTATTGCTCTCTTGGCAGTGGTAGGTGGTGTGTACACTTACAGAGAATATCAGAACCGCAAGCTGAACGCCCCATTCTGGACCATCGAGCTGAAGGAGGACAACATTAGCTTCAGCAGCTATCATGACTGCATTCCGAACGCAGATGTATCAGGGCTTTTAGAAGATGAAGTTAGTGACATGGGCAATGGACAACTTGCTTTAACCGGTCCTGGTAATTTGTATAAGGTGTAACTGATGTTCCATCACAGAAACTGGGCTGCTACGTCAGTGCTGGCCCGACGCTGGGCAGATTGTGGACCTGTGGATATGTTGACCCCTGATTTATTTTTTCATTTTAGGCTGATGAACAAAGGACAAGGTATTCCCATTGGACATAATGCAAACACTCACACAAGCACTCCAGAGCCAGAAGACAAAGTAATGAATGAGGAACATGAGCAGTGCATCTAACTGAAAAGCCAAGTTAAACATCCTGCCTTGTTGAAGGCCTTGGCCAACTCACAGCTGAAACATGTTGTCTTGCTTTGAAGAAGGAGAAGAGATGCAGAGACTATTTCACTAATGTGTGACTAGACAATGAAGTATGTCTGATTGAGTATTAATACAGTGACTGTGAGACATGCATGATGTTTCATCACATATGGATAGATCAATCAAATGCATCTGCTTATTAACATTATTAGCATACTTGCAGTTACATCCATTCACACTTTCCCTTTGTAAATGCTGTTTTAAATGGACAGAGTGGACATTAGTTTTCATCAAACTCAGGATGGATATCGTTTTGTTTTTTTCTTTGTGTGTTCACACCGTTTTAGTGTCGTTTGTTACATGCTATTACATGTGCAGGACTTTAGGGGGCACCGTTACACTGGACCTGGCATACAGAGCATGCCTGTGTATTATGCAATGGAAATATATAATACTAAATGGCACATGGCTGCTGAATGACTTCTGCATTCAATTGCATTTATTTTGGCAGACACTTCCTTGCCGAAGCAAATTGCAAGAAGGGATGATTTGTTTTTATCAGGCCAGAGGATCTGTGTGTCAGTTTCAGATGGAGAGAGCCTGACTAATTCTAGTCACAATTTCACAGCGGTAAAGCGGATTGTGAAGACCATTTCATGGTGTATGGAACTGTACTTGTTTTATTTATTTTTCAGAAATTTTCTCCTCAATCCGCTTTTCCTTCATGACTTAACACCGGGCATCAGTTCAATGGTGCCATGCCTTGTTGTGTGGACTTGACACAACTTGTCTGACTGGGAGAGTTTAAGTTTTGGTTTATTCATTTGAACGAACCTCTCTCTCAGCTTGATGGTTTAGGGTCAGTTTACGTGAGTCACAGAGGAGGGGAACAAATATGATCAGATGAGCAATAATGCCTGTTGGATCTAACAGCCGTACTGGACAGTAATTAATCACTGCCATTTGTGTAGCACAGGCTAAAACAAGTTGAGCAAACGGTTCAGTGATGAATAAGTGCACATGTTTGAGTGCGTGGGTGTTGAGCGTGGTAATCTAATATATTATTATTATTATTGGAGTTGGATAAAAGAGTACAAAATGCCATGTCAGTCAGTAAAAGACAAATAAAAGGGTGTGTGTGTGTATGAATGAGTCTGTTTTTTATAGGCGATGACCTGAACTTGAAGACAAGAGCAATAGTTCATCTGTGATTGTATCTCAAATGACTTTTGGGATATCTACTTTTAGCTCCCTCCCCACTTCCACCATCCCAAAGCTGTCTTTATCCGAGGTGTGTTGGTACAAAACGATGTAAATATTAGATGTACAGAATGGTTGTCATGAGGAGGTTGCTATTGTATTGGTACATATGGCGATGAGTCTTGTTTCTGTGACCAGCATACTGGTGCGCACACATAGAGGCTGACGTCGTAATGGTGTCTTAATCTCACATTGTATGCATTGTGCAGTATGCATGGTGCACCATATTCACAACTAACTCTGTGAAAGATTTCAATAAAAGTCACTTTTCCTATAATATGTGATTTCATCATTATTATTATTATTATTTCATTGTATTTCATGCACTAGTTTTAGCCACTGGACTGCACCAGTTTCCTGACCGTCTGGTTCATACTGCACACAAAACTACAAAGCACTAGTGAAAATAGCGAGTTTCAGTTGAATAAAATTTACGTTACATTTCATGAATTCACTGAGGACTTTTGTGAAAAAGTATTAAGTTGTATTTGAGCCACTGTGGATGCTAACATTTTTAATATTTATTTGTTACTAGGTAAATTGTGGACACAGTGACCCATTTCAATTGTATGGAAACAAGTATTGTTTTGTTTTCTATAGGGGTCAGACACACCTCAGATTTAGGCCAGAGGTCATGATGTTTTTTAATAATTATTTGATTTAATAATAATTATAATTCATGGAGCTATTGTTTAATAATTCCATGAATTAGTTGTACATTTCAAACATCTTCATTATTCATCATAACCTAAAGTCCAATTGTCCAAACTCATTTTGGACAGATTGACTGAATTCCTAGTCTACTGCTATTATGACATCCCTTCAACTAAAAATACAGACCTGTAAACAATTTGTAGAATTATATTGTGTAATTCAGATTCATTTTACATATTCTGCCAAACTAAGATGACATCCTCCTCATTATGTACACCCCAAAGTCATCTCTAAATGTGTTACAATTTAGCAGTAAACCCTGTTCCTATGTACGTCAATATGTTTACTTCAGTTTTCAGTGTTCCTTTAGTGAGACTGCAAATATCAAACAAAGGTTAAAACATGACTCCTTTTTTACATGTACAGTCAACTATATCGCTCAGATCAGTTTCTTTTTTTCTGTTCAGTATAATCATCACTTTCATCTACAGACCATGTGGTTCTGCTGGCATCATCTGTGTAAGAATCGTGATGGCAGGAGAAATCAAGTAAGTGCCTGACTTCAAATGTTTTGCTTTTTTGTAACACGTTTTAACATCTTGCAACACATGATTTCAAATATTTATAGCCCTCCTCCCTTACATAGCACATGAAGCTGCTTGAGGCAATTATTTTGAGTTTGAGTAATATGCTGATGTGTGACATATTTTCCATGGCTGAGCTATATAAACTGTTATGCTCTTGTATGATTTTGTCCATTTCTATTGAGCAAAAATGGTTAGTAATAAGTGCCACAAAGGGATTTTTGAATTTAGAAGCCCACGCACAACTCCTAGATTTCCCAACATTACTGAGTCATATAGCCATCTTCTTTTATAGTTCTAATGTACAAAGTGCATGATTGTTCACAAACACTGAATGACACAATTTCCATATCGAGACTTTTCTGGCTGCTGTTGATTTTGAGAAGTGAGGTGAACAATTTGCTTTGCTTAATCCTGAAAAACAATCCAGTGGAGAATAGCTATAAAAGCCCCCCACCCACTTAAATGTTCTCATCTTTAATTTGTACCCTTCTTAAAGGTCAGAGGTAGATAGCTGGGGAGTATTCCTGCAATCGCCCACACCTTCTGGGTATCCATTAAGGGGTCATACTAACAAATATCACAGAATCTGAGTCACTTTTTTAAGTCATACTAAGTACATACTTTCATTTCATTCATTTTTACTTTCATTCAGAAATGCTTTTCAAAGCAAATACAAAGCATCCTCCTGAAACAATTGAAGGTCTATAAATAAGCAAAAAAGTTATATTCATATTATTATTTTTTATACTTTGTTGGCTTATTTATTTACTCTTGCCATGAATTAAAATAATAGAACCTAGAATTATGGTAGCCGTTCGCATAAAACCTGGTCAAGACCGAGCAAAAGCCTCTGAGAGCTCGGCAGTGGGCGGGACTAATGTGCAAAATTGTAATCTCATTGGCTAGTCCTCAACTTTCACTGTCCACGTTTTGATCACAGCAAATCACTACCTGATATAGGACGAAAGCTTTGACTGTTGTAAATTAATGTTGTTAAATACTAACAGATAAAGCATTTTACATGTAAGTAGCTTTTAGCATGTTCTTAAACCCTGACCTCATTATTGTTAGTTATTTTTCACAGAAACCATGTTTAAGGGAGAAATTAACTTTTGAAACCATAAAAGAGGTGTTATTGTACACATTACTCCACCCCTGCATTTGTCACCTGCTCCCTCGTATAAAAACGACTTGAAGTGTCATACAGAAATATGATGATTATGTTGATTTTGTTTGCGATATTGTAAACACAATGCAGACTTGCTGTGGGAGTGATTCAAAACACGACTGATTTTCACTTATCTCCCGTCCCAGTTAACACTGCATTTTTCCATTTTGCTAATGGAGAGCATTTCAAGTGGAAACTAACTGTTGTAGTAGTGAGAGTCTTTCATATGTCTCTCTTGCCTACCTGGAAATACTGTTGCCATGACACAGAGATGTTGAGGTTCTTGTCAAGATCATCCCTCAATCCCACAAACCCGGCAGTGACATTGGAAATAAATTGTTTATGAGAATTATTTGAATATCTAACTCAGATATTGGCAGAATGTGATCCAAATGGGTAATGCAAAGCTAGCCAACACAGCCTCCCTGCTCGAATTCTGAGCTTTATCAGTCCTAGTTAATAAATAAAGATCATCATTCTCAGATTGTTCTTTAAAATCAAATAAGTCAGTTACTTCGCTCAAGTAACTGACTTAGTGAATCATTATTGCAGATCAAAAATCCCGAGACATTTAAATTAATCTGAGCACATGATGCCGGAAATCAACAGCACTTAGCCAATCGAGTGCTGACGAGTGGAATCTGATGTCATTGTGGCATCACTGAGCCATGTAGACCTTCTAAATGGAAGACATTTGCGGGCATTTTCTTTTACTTACTTTGATATCATCTGGGAAACTGCCCTCTTTTGGAAATGTAACTTATGAGTTCTGTAAATAGAGTAACCGATAAAAATGAGTCATATAAAAATATATATGTGTGTATATAACTGGAAAAACATAATCTGTGTCTGAATCAACAGTGAGATGCTCACAAACAGACTGAATGTCCCTAAAGCGCCCAGCAAAATCTAAACATGCACAGTGCGTGAAGATTTTTGCTGATGCTTCTGCTAACACCCACACCCAATGGGAGCACTCGTATATACATGTGGTGACCTTGTTTGCATGATTGATTACTGATATGACTTCCAGTCAACGTTGTGGGAAAATACCAGATGGGTGGTCTCTAAAGTACTTGTGGTCTATATGCTCTCTAAGGAATAGTTCACCTAAAAATTAAAATTCTGTCACCATTTATGTTGTTTCAAACCTGTGGCGCACTTTATTCTGCAGAACACAAAAGGAGAAATTCTGAGGAATGTCTTGGTCAGTGGTTTCTGTGCAGTGACAATGGTGATGGAGATTGAAAAAGGATGCAAAATCACTTTTGAGTTCTTCTTAAGGCATGTGATGGCTTTGTGTGGGGAACAGTTGAAATTGAAGTTGTCTGATAATAGGGACTTTAAACAACAGTAGCTGATGGAATGACAACAGCATTCTGCAAAACGTTCTATTAAAGGAGTAGTTCACTTCCAGGATGAAAATTCTGTCATCATTTATTCATCCTCCACTTGTTCCAACCCTGAATGAGCTTCTTTCTTCTGTTGAACACAAAAGAAGATATTTTGAAAAATTTTAGTATCCGAACAGTTGATGGGCAAAATACTATGGAAGTCAATGGTGCCCATCAACTGTTCGTTGAAAATACTAAAAATTTTCAAAATATCTTCTTTTGTGTTCAACAGAAGAAAGAAGCTCATTCAGGTTTGGAACAAGTGGAGGATGAGTAAATGATGACAGAATTTTCATTCTGGAAGTGAACTAATTTAATTACAGTCGCCGCTGCTGTTGCATAATCTGTGATTATTCACCTTTATTTGTATAGCGCTTTATACAATACTGATTGTGTTAAAGCAGCTTTACAGTGTCAAACAGGAAAATAGTTTGTCAATAATACAAGAAGATAATAACAAAGTCATTTTTCCAGCTAAAGCCAGTTCATAAATTAAATCATTAAATGATTCAATGAGTTTAAATTCAGAACCATGAATGAATCATTCAGAACAGTTTGATAAAAAAAAAATCACTAAAAGATCTGATTCAAACAAATTATTACTTCACAAACCAGCTGCATCTTTAACAATCCTCACACACAATAGCAGATGGCCGTTCTGGAGGATGTGAGATTTATATGCACAAGTAGACTACTTTGTTACTTTTACAGTGATTATTACAGCCTTTTGAGACTTAATATCTTCATTCACCCTCAAAGAGATTCTCCAAAAATTCTCCTTTTGATATTTATCTAGGTTTGTAATGACATGAGGGTGAGAAAATGATGACAGAATTTTCATTTCTGCACTCTAAAAAATTCTGGGTTCTTTTTTTTTAACACAAATGCTGGGTTGAGCCTTTTGGGTCTTTTTTTTTTCTTCAGTGTTTGGGTAGTTTTTGTGTTACCCGGCTCCTGGGTCAGACATAACCAATGTTTGGGTAGTTTTTGTGTTACTCCTGGGTCCTGGGTCAGACGCAGTGGTGGAAAGAGTACTGAAAAAATATACTCAAGTAAAAGTACCATTACCTTCCAAAAAATGTAGTGTGAGTAGAGTAAAAGTACTTGTCCAATAAACTACTTGAGTAAGAGTAAAAGAGTAGCCTATTTAAAAGTACTCCTGAGTATTGAGTAGTGAGTACTGAGCTGTGGATTCTACCCCCTCATAATAAACGCTGTATACCGCAATTTATACATTTAAAAAACGTTGTACATTCTGTAATTCACATTATCTTATTTGTCATAAAGAATGAAGAGTATCTATCATCCAGCAGTTTTAATTTTAATGGCCAACTCTTTAAAATACATCAAAACAGCACGGAAACAGTAATCAGCTGAAGAAAAGATGAAAGTATTGTATAAAATGGATTAAAAAAAATTAAATTAAAAAAAACGTTTATTAACGAGCTGCAGTTTTATTACATCAAGCGCTGGCACAGATGCAGTATATTAACGCCACGGGTCATCAATAAGGTGCGGATTGGTCCTCAATTTGTGTTTCCAACACACTTGTTAACAGCGCGCATCACGTGCTTAAACTCATCAAAAGTCAACAAGTTCAACAACGACTTATCCAAGTGCATGATAAACAGTTGGCGGTTAAAGTTTTCTAAATTCTATGAACAATTTGATTTGACGAAAGTCACGAGACCTATTACTATCTCTATCGAATCACGTTGATGGATAAAAAATAAAATTAAAATAAGCATGTAACAACCACAAACGGAGGAAAATAGCAGAGTAAAAGTACCGATACATCACTTAAAATGTACTCAAGTAAAAGTACACAATTTTTAAACTACTCAAAAAAAGTACAATTACTGATAAAAACTACTTAATTACTGTAACGCGAGTATTTGTAATTCGTTACTTCACACCCCTGGTCAGACTTAACCCAGCGGTTGAGTTATTAATCGCAGGGATTTTGCGTCCTCTTCAGGACAGAGCAGTTCTAAACGCCATCGAATTGATGCATTTCTTCTGTAAAATACAGGTTTGTGTACATTTTATTTTATCTATAAAATCATTACTGTGCTGTATATCGTTCAATTTAATGCAAAGCATCATACAGGCACGCGATGTGAATCACCTAAACGAGAGTCGAGTCGGTCTTTTCGCGTGATGGAAAAGCCTGATGCTTTGCATAAAATAAATGATTTTATTTATAAAGATACAGAATATAAATACTTTGGATGTTAAAATATGTCCTCAGAGCTGTTTACTGTTTGTTATGGGCAAGACAGTCACAGCATGTTTCTATGAGTGAAACGCAGGGTGGCAGTCCTTTAGTAAAAAAGTAAAAATTAAGCTAGTATTATAGTAAAAATTAATCAACCTAATATGCTGGATTAAATAAACAACCCAATTTGCTGGGTAAAATTAACCCAACATGTGTTCTGTCCTATATGTAACCAGCCCTTGGGTTAAAAACAACCCAAACTGGGTTGTTTTTAACCCAGTGTTTTTAGAGTGTGGGTGAGCTGTGCCTTTAAGAGTTATTTTTCACTGTCACTTGTGTCAGGACCTTTTAAGATTAAAGATTTGAATTTCTGTGTCTTACAAAAATGATATCATTTCAGAACTGACATAAGGGAAAGTTTCACTGTCCTCCATACACCAACCATGTCACCTTATTTTGGTAGATTTAGGGGTTTTTTTAGGTTTACCTTAATTTTTTTTTTTTTTTAGGTTTACCTTATTTTGGTAGTTTGGTTATTGACTCTCCAGACAGGTAATCTGATAAAAGAGTGAAATTACAAACAGTGCTATTAACTCAAATGAAACAAGATGTTGGTTTAGATTACAACAAGAAATCAGTGAAATGCATGAAAGCATGCTTTGCATAGTGAAAGCTATGAGTTTTCTGTTACCATGATCGCATCCACCCTCATCTCACCCACAGGTGATGCGGAGTTAATAGCGCACCGATGAACGCGTGGGAGAGACTCCTATCTCATTACGTTCGACAACTTCATCCGGTACAAGAGGCATTACTTGTTTGAGACTGTAGTTATTTCAACTTCTTGAGAAGCAGGCATGGATACAGCGCGGGCAGCTAGGACGCATATTATCTGGACATCGATAGCTTTGGTCTTTATTTTAATCGCATCGTGCTTGGCATATGTTTTCATGTCGAAGGTAAATATAAGTCGATCTACAGCCTTAGAATTTCAGATTCTTTATCTGGCTAGATATTATTTTGGACAATAAAATTACCCCGTGTTCAGGATTCTGTGGGACACTTTGAAGAATAACTCAGCGATTGATTTCGTTGAATAAAAGTCTAGTAAGACAGTTTACCATTCTAGCAAGCATGCGGTTTTAATATTTTTATGAAAAAGAGAAAAAAAGGGTCCGATCCTCAGTTCACACACAGGGCAGATAAACACTTCCTTGTTTTCCATCTTAGAGCTTTCTCCAGCATTTTATATCTATGGATAGCTAATTCATGGATCAAGTTGCAGAGGGCGTGTTTGTAAACAACGAATGGGTGCATTTATGCGTATTTACGTAGGCTCTGCTTCTGTGCAATCTAGGCTACTCTAGGAATATGCATGACAGTGACATGTCTTACTGTAACTTCAACAGGTGCCTGGATGCCAAAGAATAAACATCGTGAATGGTAAGTTATACCTAAATATTTCCTCATAATTACAGTACTTATTGTGTATTTTGTCAGCGACTATTGGCGGAATGTATTTCCCTTTTTACTAAATTACATTGCTCCTTAAGCCTTTTGTTTATAATCTATGGGAGAAAAACACTGCGTTTATATTCTAAGTGTATCTTTTAGCCTGTATATAGTGTGCATCATCAGTAAGGTAGGCTGTATATTGAGTTTGTTCTATTTATGTCACTGTATCAGTCCATTCAGTCACGTCAAGCGTTTTAGAAAGTCCCTGTGGAGGGCGCGATCTGTTGAGGGTGCAAGTGGCAACGGTCATTTGGCGCAAAACGAAAGATCTAAACTTAAGAATTTGTAATAATTTTTGATGTATATAAAAAAGAGCTACATAAAAAGATACTTTAAGAATACTGTTGCTATGGTAACCTCCTCAGCGAACGCGACTCCTGTTCGCGAGCGTCTTTTATACGCTCTGATAACTTGTAATTTGAATTCTGTCGTTACTAAATAAAGCGTTCGAAACACCTGTTAGAACATATATAACGTGTAGGCTATATTAAGACAAAAAATAAAAATAAAAAACTCCATCCCATTGGTTTGACATCAATAACCACTTAAACAATTTGTTTACATGAAAACTGAGCATGATTTAAACATAACTGATCATGATTTACTGTGAGTTTTGTAGTCAACTAAATAAACAATAAAAGTTGATACGAACCTAAACTAACATAAAAAGAAAGGCCACTGTAAAAGGTAGAAAGGTTCTGAAAGCTCTTACTATTTGAAGAATCTCCATTCTAGTTGATTGCAGTTTAACGGTAGTATAATAACTGTGGTTACTGTAATGGTAATGGTAACACACTCTAATGGTAACATTCTGTATAACTGAGACAGTTTTTGTTGCGCGTGTGTTTGTGGGAGTCTGCTGTGAGAATGTTTTGGGTGGGGAGCCAAGCTGTCTCGCTGTGTTTTTGTGTAAATGCATTTTTGTGGTCTGCTTCATCACATTTTCCTGTACAGCTGTGAATTGCACGTTTAGTCATACAACAAGTTTTGTTGTTGTCACTTTTAATCAACATTTGCTCAGTGGTGGCAAACTTGGAGATATTTACAGATCTTTTTCTTTCTGACAGTCTCTGAAAGTACAGAAATGATGTTCAGACATCAAGTCTCTCAAGAACACTGGCTTCTAAAAGGTGATTAGCCACAAATTTGTTTCTAAATATATTTATGAAAGATAGCCTATTGGTTTGATATTGGTAGAAAGAAAGAAAATGGTTTCACAAAGTCCACATTTCACATTAAAAACGATATTATATTACTATTGCATAACTTAATGTAAACCTCTGTGATTCTATAATGAGAATTCTTGCTACATGTTTATCTTCTTCAAGCTCAGAGTTACAGTCAGGCAGATCATCGTTTGATCTGGGAAGATGAGTGGCTGGGATACAGGGATGAGAGTGAGAGTATTCTGGACCAGACCAACATGTGGATGGTCATTCGAGAGAAAGGTGTCTACCTGGTCTACATACAAGCTAACTTCATTCTAAAGCCACAGAAGAATAACAGTTCTACTGTAGAACTCAAAATTGTAGTGGATTTCAGTTATGATGGGACGAAGGAGGTGTTTTCAGCTGCACATGACACTCAGGTGGTGAGTGACAACTCGTTTCCAGACGCAAAGCTCAACACTTTCCTTCTGATGAAAATGCAGTCAACAAGCCAGTTATCAGTGAGAGTATTTCCAAGTCATTTGGTGAACTACCAACCCAGACCCTTCTCCACCTTTATCACTATCATAAAATGGGCAGACGACTGGTAGACTGTTGCATATATTGCAGAAGTGATTGGCTTTCCAGGTGAAAACCATATCCATCTCCAATTTTTACAATGACGGTTGTTCTTATATTCTTATTAGCTTTAAATGTGACATTTTGAGTGGACGCGGTCTCAAGATCAGCTGCTAGAACACCTGAGATTTTCCAGCTGTTGTACTAGGAAATGCTCGCTGACATTAACAAGGATTGCGTGGGGGGTTGTGATACTTTCTTGGTGTTTTTTCTTCTTTCTTTCGAAATATCAAGATCACATCTCATGATCTTCTCAGAAGCATGACACATTTTCCTCTCAACAGATATATGAGTTAGGTTTGTTTTGTTTCAGTTTTTTTATGAGTCAAGACCAAAAAGGGCATGATGTACTGTTTATGAGCACTGACTTTGAAGATTCTCATGTATTACTTACATAAAAGATGTCATAACTGCCTGCAAACATTGTTTTACAAAACAGTAGTAAGCTAATTCTGAGCAAGTGGGTATTTCTTTAGTGAAATGCATCTTCCTGTATATATAATCATGCAGTATTTTAATTATCGACAGCTGAATGTAAACACCTCTTAACACCCTATCTTTGTCCAGCATCAGTGTTTGATATAAATGCTCATTGTGTCAAATGCTAAGGCTATGGAGCAATATTTTATTGTGTAAATTTGCGCTTCTTTTTTAAGACAAGAAATCAGCATTTTATTTTGTCAAAGTTCTTGAAATGTGGTGCCAGTTTTTAGCTGTAAGCAGATTCATCCAGCCACAGAAGCAATTATTTGTTTATGAATGTGATGGAAATGTTTTCTGATGGAGGTGGTGAATGTCTAGGGGTGGTAGTGGTGATGTTTTTTTCACATAAAAAAATACCACTAGTTACACTAATCCAATCAGTCAAGCAAGCCGTATGAATCTGAACAACATCAGCTGTTTTAATGAGACAGTGGAGTGTTTTTCTTTTCCAGCGAGTGTGAAAGTTTCTTTTCCAAACCCAGTATTTTTTTCTGTCAGGAAAATACCATTTATGATGATTCATACTTTTTTGTATTCAGATGACCCAAACCAGCTGGCGGAATCTAAAGAAGATATTTAAAATAAGAGAGTAAATGTAATGCTTTTTTTTTCTCTCTCTCTCTGTATGACAGTTTTGTTCTTTCACCGCTAAGCCCTTATACATGTTATAACTAAAAAGGTAATTGTTCACGCTGAGTGATTTCAATTGACTACTTTTTTTTACTGTTCTCAAATATGCAAACAATATTATATTTATGTCATTTTAATATTTTTATTTAAACTAATAATTATAAATAAAGCAATGTGTTTTCCCTCTGCATGCCTCATATTCTTTAAGTTAATTTCTGTATATTTTATTGTTTTGTTCAACTTGTAAAGTTGTTTGTGATCGATGTTTAATAAATGAATGGCTACAAAAATGTCACAAACAGAATGCCTTATGTTACTGTTATCTGAGCTTTAAGCTTTTCAGTCTTTTCTGACCAGACAATGTTTTATTTTGACTTGTTTCCTAGGTAAAAAGTACAGAAAAGAAAACATTCAAGTTCAAATAAAAAGTACAAAATATCAGTTGTTTAATGAGTTCTACATTTTGTACTTGGGTAGAATGGCAAAATAAATCTTATAAAAAATAAAATACCTTTAATAAAAAAAATGTATAGACTATTTATTCAGAGAGAGAACAAAATGGTTGATGTCTGTCAAACTGTTAGTGTTGTGTTCCTTGCAGAACCAGAACAGCATAACCATAAACCCACATTACATTGTAGGAGATTTTTGTCTGACAACCTAATGAGAATTTACAAAATATCTAATGGTTGTAATTAGTTTTGTTTCTTTATTTGTTTACAGCCATCAACTGACATTCTGTTCTGGGAACCAAAAACGTTTAGTTGGGTGATTCTCAATGTAACATCTGGATGCTGAACAAGGAGGTGTATATAGTTCCTGAAGTTAAGCGTATGAGAAGGGCGGATTAGTTGATGTAGGCCTAGATGTAGCGGTACGTACTGCCCCCTTGTGGCAGAGACTTTATATCTGACGGAAAAAAGGTGAGTCAAGTCTGAAGTTACAGGGTTTCAGTTGAGTCATGTTGTGAATTTAAGCTTCAAGGTGTTGCTAATGAAGAACTTATGAATGAATAAATCACGTTTTTGTAACTGCCCTGACTGAGTAAATAAATAACCTTACCTTACACAAAGGCACTCAGGTTCGCTTCCAAAGGCAGGGTGAACTTGGAGACATGGACCACAAAAATAAAGACAATCACTTTATTAAAGAATACAAAAATTAAAACAAACATTTCCGGGCGTGGCACCTCTACTGTATATAAACTGAATAAATAATAAACTAAATGTGTTCAGCATTCGGCAACAAATATTTTTCGGATTTTCTTGACAATTTTAAATCATAAAGTGCGCAGGATATATTAAAATTCATCGCAAGCTTCGGCAGGCAAGTGCAAGAGGTCCTCGCTGCAGCCTGACAAACTCGGCAAGTGGGGCAGTCGTGCCGGTGTTCTCCCGAACTCAACAGCGCCCCACAAAGTGGCAGTCGTGCCGGTGTTCTCCCGAACTCAACAGCGCCCCACAAATTTTACAATGTAAATCTGTGGTGAAAAGTGGAACTGCAGCACGCTCTAATTGAGAGCCATTTGGGCAGTTTTGACTGCCCCGCTTATTTTCACGTTACCTTATCTCGCTCCAGACCAAGACGATATCAGTCAGCTTCAGCTATATGTGTCTGCATCAGGTCAGTAAGTAGCTGGCATGTCTGTTTTTCCTATGTGGAGTAGTGTTTTAAATTAATGAAAGTGTTAATCCTGAAGTTTAAATGTGCTCACGAAAAAAGCCTTTATATAGTTCTGTTGTGTTGGTTTTATGTTCGTTTTGAGATGAGACATGATATTCGTTTCCTCACTTAAATTCATCAACAACTTGTAACATTCTAAATAAACATTCGAAGACAAAATTAAGGCAATAAGTCTATAGAATTCTGTGTGTGTGTGTGTGTGTGTGTGTGTACTTCGAACCTGTCAATCAACATTAGCTTGCCGCCCACTGGCTGAATAACGCAAGGACATTAGATCTCTGCCAAAAGTGTGTGCATGTTTTAGACTATAAAGCCTATAAACTTTCTTGAGTTTATTATAAACTAGCACTACGACCGAACCAGAATCTGACCCACCTAAATTTACAGTCAGGAGCTGTGCTACTGAACATTACATTAATTCCACACAAGGTCTCAAATTACCAGTGGTGGAGGTAACGAATTACAACTACTCACGTTACTGTAATTAAGTAGTTTTTTTTTCTTTCTGAAGAGTATGTGTGGCAGTCAGTCACCGCACCGGTGTGGATATTTACTGTATTTCGCAATCACAGATTCTAGCCTACGTCTTGGAATATGACCCAAATAAGAATTTTCACTGTATATTGCCATTTGAACAGGTAACAAGTCTGTTCAAATTTGTTCTGACCAACTGAGGAAAAAAAGCATTACCATAAATCTCACTACCAATGGTGATTAAATCTAAAGATCGGTTAGCTCATATCACATCAAACCATTCAAATTATTATTATTGTTATACTTTATTCTCAAATGATTAATGTTAACAACATCAGCATTGGTGACTATGAGTATAGTGTGTACAGGTGCATCTCAATAAATTAGAAGTACAAATTTTCAGTACTCTTTCCACCACTGCAAATTACAAAGAAACAACACCGAATAATACAGACACAATAACAATATATAAATAAAGAGGAAGATGGCCAGCAGAGGTCCTCAGACCCACCCAACTTATGATTGGTAGTGTGCGCGAGAGAGTTTGATAGTGTGTGTGAACAGGGTGCGAACTACGGGGGAGCTAGGGGCAGCTCGGCTCCCCTTAATAAGACATGGGCTCCCCTGAAAACGTGATTTGTGAAATTTTGGGGGGGTCTCAAAAAATATTGACAATGTGTTATTTTGACATGCAATTTCAGTTTTGTGTAATGTGATCATCGTGGATTATTATGTGTAAAATTGCAAAAATATAATTCATTCATGCGACATTGTAAGCCCTCTTTTGAGGCACGCACAAGCGCACGACCCCCCCCCGTTATAAAAAAAACCAAGTGGGCTCCCCCACTTGCGCACGAACCCCCCCCATCCCCCATCAAACTCTCTAGTGTGCGCGAGAGAGTTTGATAGTGCATGTGAAAGCTTTGATAGCATGTGAGAGACGGTATAGTAGTGAATGAGAGAGTGTTTGATAGTGCGTATGAAAGCTTTGATAGTGTGTGAAAGACCTTATAGTAGTGTATGAGAGAGAGTTTGATAGTGTGTGCGCGAGTAAAGTTTGAATAATGTCTTGAACGGCCTCTCATACTTCTCAATGTAGTAAATGATGTTCAAGAGTTCCAGATGTCAAAATAAGACTTTATTGGACAAAGCAACAAAGCCAAGATGACGGTCACCGCATCTGAGTTTTTGTCTGACCCGACATCCATTCTTATACCTTATTCTTATCAGTCTTTTAAACCAAAAATTGGTAGCTCGGTCTCTGATTGTTACTCCACTAGTTTTGCTACACTCATTCTTACTCATCCTGGTATACTTTCTAATTGTGGACTCCTGCTAATTTGAACCATTCTCCTAAGGATGTTTTATTAACAAAGTTCGGGAGGAGCTCGTCAGATACTTAGCCTAATTAACACAAGTGGAGCGCACTCAAGTTAATCAACACCAATAGGTATAAATACAGCTGACTTACCTGTATCCATTGATGGTTTATCAGCATTCCTCCACCACCCCATCTCCTCACTTCGAGTCCTTACTACACTTATACGGGGGGGTACTCTAGGTTCGCGAGCTCTGAGCCCTTCCCCGGACAGCACGCCAAATATGCATTACCATACAGCAGCTAATTATATGTAAGTGTGAACTCGTGAAATACTTTTTATCTCATCTTCCCCCTGGATGCAGGCGTCTTCATGGGCCATCCTGATATACTTTCTAACTGTGAACTCATGCTAGCTTGAACCATTCTCCCAATACTTATCTCACCCTCACTTTGGACACAGGTGTCCTCAGGCTATTCATCAAACTTGTTTGTGCCATCCTTGACATATGGAAGTCACCCAAAGTTTACTGGTTCATTCAAGTTCATCAGCACTGTCCAATGGGGAGCACCTACACTTGCTAATTGGAAAGCACCTAGGACTCACAGTCTGCATTAAGACATCCAATGTTGAAATGATCATTGAAACAATCACCATATTGATCAGTCTATTGATTATCGTTATAATCATACATCAAATTTTCGAGTAAAATATCACAACACTGTCCATATGAAACAAAAAAAAAAGTGAGAAATGATGGCATTCACACTGGATAAACCCTGCCTGGACTTATGAGTCACATTAAGGGGAAACCAGAAGGCAAGGACAATCAAATTTGCACAGGCAACCAGAGAATATTGTTCAACTTCCTTCTGTCAACGTCTATATGGAACAATTTATAACTATAGGCCTACACCCTTCTTTTACAAGCACCTGCTGCTAATAGGTCTTGGGTCCTTTCAGTTGTTGCTTTTGCTTCTTTTTTTTAACTCTAGATCTGATCTAGAACTAGATCTGCAAAAATTAATAATATAAAGGTAAATGCAGGGAACAATAGAAACATCTGATGTTATGCCTCACAGAAAGGGTTTATTGTCTGAGAAGGTGGGGATATAATTATAAATTGTTCCATAAAGATGTTGACAGAAGGAAGTTGAACCATTTTCTCTGATTGCCTGCACAAATTTGATTGTTTTCCCCTAACATGACTCACAAGTCCAGGAAGAGTTTGTCCAGTGTGGATTTCATCATTTCTCTTTTTTTTCGTATGGATGGTTGTATAGATGCTTTGATGATGCTTTATGGGATACACTGGACAGTAAGTGTTGCGCCAAGTCTTTGCAATTAAATCTAGTGGTAAGCTGTTTATTTACTTTTTGCTAGTAAATTTGCTAGTTTATTAGTAAACTGCAGTATTACTGCAATCCCTATATAGGGTACTGAAATAAAACAGCTGAATTCTGTATTTGTGCAGTCTACAGCAATCCTGCATTTCCGGGTAATTCATAAGCAAAGACACCTTTATTTGCTTTATACAATACATATTGTTTCAAAGCAGTGTCACAGTATTAAACAGGGAAGTAGCAGAAAATTTCAAATATGAGACAAATCCAAATTCTGCTGTAAA